GAGGCAGCTTTCCGTGGCGCAGCCGCGTCTCACCACGGCGAGCCCCTTCCTCCCTCCTTCCCAAGCACGCAGCCATCCGTCGCAGGTGAAGGAAATGGATGCTGAAAGTTTCTTAACTGGCACTTAAAAAAAGGTCACATCAAAATGGAAAGATCAATTTGTTCCTCGGCCTCACCATCAGTTACGCATGAAGGCGCAGACTGCCGGTACTCAGCACTCATCATCTGGGACATCCCCTCACACGGGAACAGGCGATTGAAACGGAAAAATGAACTTTTATTGAATTTTATTTTTTCGTTCGTTTAACGCTGCGGGCAGAGAGGCGTCTCTGCAAAGCCCCTTTGCTCTGCCCACAGCCCAGCTCCGACACCCCAAAGGGAGCCTGTGGTGGCACAGGCAGGTTATAAACCTCTTTGTCAGCGTCCCCACAGGAATTTCTCCGTGTGCTTCCCAACCAGTCAGCAGCGTGATTAGCTGGTAGCTGCGGGAGCCCGGTCGCGCCAAGCTCGCAGCTGGGAAAGGCAGGAATTGCAGGGGGAGGCCGAGTACACGGAGCTGTGCCGGGCTCTCCGGGCTGTTTTTATTTAAAAGGCAGCTGTACAAATTAAACACCCCCCAAGGGAGAAGCACTTTACACAGCGATTCAGGAACTCTTATCAATTAAGAGATTTTGGGTTTTGATGTTACCAGCACCACATTTATCTGCAGACGAGCCTGAAGCACCAACCTCCCTCTCCTCACTCTTACCTGGAGGCCAGCCCGGCGGCGCAGGGGCTCAAGCAGGGACAAATTCACTGACCCGGTGGCAACGGGCACCTCCTGGCCCGGCGCAGGGGCTCAGGCGGCCGTGGCACATCCCTCTGTGCATCCCATGGCCGCATCCAGACCTGTAAGCCTTTCCTGGAGGCAGCCCCGCGGACTAGTGTCTAACTGCTGCCATCCTCCCACCCGGACAGCCCTGGAAACAGCCTTCTGACAGACAGAAACCTCCCGTGGGTGTTTCCGATCTCCGCTGTGCTTCAAGGGAGACAGAGAATTCAACCAGTTAGAAATACAAAGGCTTCTACACATTAGAAGGACTACGGTAAAAATACAGTCACCCAGCACAGAGACTCCAAAAAATGGTAGAACTTTTATTTTCCTCGGTACAGGTATTCTTTACAGCATTAAGGTTTTCTTTAAAAACTATATACATACATATATAGCATTGTGCATTTCAGTATCTGCTCCTAGAGTCTCTAGAAAAGGAGAAAGACCAATGTACAGAGCAATCCTCACGGTCCGTTCCTACAGCCCAAGCTCTTTCCTAGGAAGTTCACCACCCCTCGGGGTCGGGACAAGGCGCCTGCTACAACCACTTCTGCCCAGTTTTGGCATCGCTTACGCCATGGGTTCGCGTCTCTACCGTGTGCCTCTGTAGCACGGACAAACTTTGAGTAATTCCTTCAATTGCGAGAGATGCTACACGTAACATCAAGTCAGTCACGGGCACAGTAGTTTCAAGATGTAAAATTGCTTTAAACACAATTTTGCAGGATAAACAGAGCACACATTTTATTAAGAGACACGATGAGTCAGCTTCACAAGTCCTCCATACGTTATCACAATAACAGTTAGGCAAAAAAAAAAAAATAAAAATATCTAAGTTAGAGTCACTCAGCTGTTTCCTAATAAATTCTTACAGCTGACAAAGAGGTTTTTCTTTTTTTTTTTTTCTGCAAGCAGTTTAAGAGAGTTATAAAGAGCTATCTGGGGAATGAATTAGTGTTTCAAAACCAAGTTACAAATCTATAAAACAGATTAGTGTACTCCACATAAGGCCACAAACACTGCAAACTGTCCGTGCGACTATTTAGGATCATTAAACTTAATCTTTTAATTAGCATAAGCTTTATACCTCCAATACTTATTTCCAATTCCAAGAGCAGATGAAGAGCTTCCCAAGCCTCCCAGGAGCTGCGGCTGTCGGGGGGGGGGGGTGAGGATCGGAGTCCTGCTGCAAGGGGCACCTCTCGCTAATTGAACATCCAGGTATTGGTCTTCCCTAATCCAATTCCATTTGAGTCTATCGAGTGAGCAACAACCAAATGGTTCTGAGCCAGTAAAAAGGCATGCACAGCCAAATCCACTTAGCAGGGCTAAGAACACGGATCTATTGTGCTACTGGGTTCACCCAGCCTGCAACTTCCAACACGCTTTAGCAAAACAAATTGTTACTCCCTGGTGGTTTTGCTTTTAAAGCCAACAGTGCAACGGAGCCTTTATATTCTGAGTCACATCAGAAACGGCGCACGTGGGTAGTCAGTTTTGAAACAGACCTGCAGCATTGCGGGGTTGGGGGATTTTTTGGGTAAATAGCTTCTGAAGAGAAGTTACAGGCACTGCTTACCTTGACAATTCGGACCATTGCTTTCAGTTCAAGTCTTAAAGTGCAAAACTTCATAGAGTCTTTGGGTAAAAAAGTGTCAATTCCCACACAAAGCTGGCAAAGAAACAGCCAGAACCCATAGGGGTGATTGACAACTGTGAGAGTATCACAGACATTCACAACAAAAGCAAGATCTCTGCTACCTCTTTGATTCTAACACTGTTAGCAGCTGCTGCAAATCTCCTCCCCTCCGCCTAGGCAGGTGATGTGTTGTTCAAGAAACAGTGGATTAGTAACAGTTGTGCTTGCAATTGCATTTGCATCTGCAGACCTTTGTCTAGGAAAGTATATACAGAGAGACTTTGGTGTTGCATAGTCTTTTTTTTTCAGAGGAACAGGCACTGCTGAAGGTTCTTCCGTGGTGTATCACCACACAATACTGTAGATGCTCTACACACCTTCCAATAATGTATGTAAACTGTAACGGCTATGAATAAATATGTTCAAGAGCATCTTGTGGTTTAGATAAAAGCAAGGTACAAAAAAATCTGCATTAGGTTTCTAAAGCTTTGGTCTAAGCTGTGCTGTAACATCATCTGACTTGGTGAAGAGCCCTCGGGGAAGAGCCCCTTGCGTACAGCACCTGGAACAGCATGACTCAGTCCACAGACTTTTAGTGGTTATTCTCCTGTCAGCTCTTAGATGCATTTGACCTCAAAACATGAACAGATCATCTTTCTCGCCTGTGTTGGAATCCATTTTGTTCCAGTCTACAGGTGAGAGCGTTTCTGCACTCTGGATGTCTTGAGCCGTCAGTCCCGTGTCAAGGACGTGAGGGTTTGTTCTCGACTGAGCCAGCCTAAGAGGGGAGAAAAACAGAAAGTCAGAACACAAATCCGCGTAGTTTATAGCCTGGATGCTTGATGCATCCGTAATGCCAAACCCCAGCTGCAGTTCCACATTTCAAAATCCTCCAACGGCACGAGATAATTCAGTGAGGGGAGAGCTGGCACGTAACACTCGCAGCCCTCTCCAGTTTGTTGCAGCTTTGCTGCTGGTTTATCCTAACGTTTCTCCCACGGGCACCCAGGGAATCTGCAGTCTGGACATCCCGTGTATTAGCAGTCTGGCAAAACGGTGCTGCCTCCCTCCCCCGAGCTAGAGCTGGCGGGTGCATCGTGAGCTGGGCTCTTATCTCAGGCTCTGCTGACCAAAGGAGCAGCCTCAGCGCAATGACTCAATTCTCACGGCGCTGTGTCTGGCCACGCAGCGCGCTGCCCGCCGCACTGCCCGGCCCCAGCATTTAACTCTTTGGGTTAAGGCACGGCAGGACTCGGAGGATGTTTAATAGCCCACAGGATCAGCTTTAAGAGGGCGTCATCTGGCACATCCCAGATGTTTCGCAAAACCTAACAAGCCCCAGTTTGTGGTTGTGTTATTAAACACACCTCTGTGAAAAGGTAACGCTGCAGCATCCACTCTCCCAGGGCCAGAGGTTAACTCGAGCATTTGGTGTTTCACCCAGGGCAGGCGCGGTGCCGAATAAGCCTCAGATTAAACCGGCCGCACGCACGTTCTTTAATAAAGAAGCAAAACGTCCAGCGACGATGTTTGTGGCAGGAACGCTTTCAGAAGCATCCGCCTCGGTGGAGGAGCAGTCCAACTACTGAGTCACCAGAAGGCCAAGGGTGATGTGACAGCTCGGCAGCCAGCAATGCAAAACAAAAGACCGCAACCAACAACATCTGCTTCATTAAGTAGGGCAAGGAACAGAGGCGAGGGAAACAGACGACGTGAAGACGTAAATTGAAGCAGCCCCTTTATGGGACTCAACTTGGGACAGGGCTGCCGTGGAAGTGGAAGCTGTAAATCGTTCCTGAGAGCCAAACAAGACACGAAGGTCTGTTTCCTTAGGGCTGAACGTGCAGTTTTGGCACTGCTGCAACCCCCCGGCGGAGGCGAGTGGCTCTTGGGGAGGTGACAGTGCTGGGCTCAGCCCTGCTACTGCCTGACTCCCTCTTCCAGCACCAGCCGGAGGAGGAGGACGCGAACTAAAGCGTCCCCACCACCCCACGGGGGCCTGCCTGCAGGAGGACAGACAGGAAAGCCCACCTTTGTTTAACATTGCTGGACTGCTCGGCCTGCAAGGGCAGGGAAGGTCTTCACTTGGAGTGGAAAGCGAACGAGGCCACGGACTCTGAACGTGCTCAGGTGCAGGAACACAGAATTGGTGCCTCAGCGTCGCCCTGATAACAACCACGCTGCAACCAGGGCCAGTGGAGCAGGGAGGCTGCCCTCAGCAGTTGCTCTTGGGTTGGGGACAGATGGGAACAAAGTCCCAGGGTTAGTGCAGACCTCACGGAGAGGCGAGGAAGAGACAAGTCCCCCCCGCGCCAGAAGCTGGGACCAGCAGCGCCGCAGCTAGCACGGAGGCTGGAAACAGGCAGCCTCACCCCGGCAAGCAGGAGCGGACATGCCAACTGCCTGGGGAACTAAATTCCCTATCACATAGAGCCTCTCTCCATCCTTAAAAGGTTGTCAAAATATTTGGCTTATCAGCCAGCCTCAAAGCCTATCTTTCAATTAACAGCTGAGGCACTGATGGGGCAGCTGCCTAGGTCAGATCACGGCGGGTGATTAGATTAGAAGCATTATTAAAAGCCAGTCACTAGTCAAGTCTCCCGGGCTGGTCCCTGGTGGCGTGAACTTGTAAAAGGGGTTATTAGAATTACCTTGAAAACGCCTCGTCGAGACCGTCATCCATTTCCTTTGTTAAAGAGATAAAAAGAGAGAGGAGTAGTTGCTAAGAGAACGCACAAAAGTGTATTTAGAGATCAGTCTCTGCACTTGAGCAGGCAGACAAAAAATATACACGTATTGATTTCCGAGTGCCTAAAGCAACGCTCCTGTCGGCAATCTGCCTCCTCGGGCAGGTTTTGTCTCACACTCTGCATAAGCCCCAGGGTAAGATGTGTAACTGGGTGGTCCAGGCTTCCTCAGAGCAGATCCCGGGGCTCGGGGATGCCGCGCTCCCCTCGCAGCCCAGGGACGGGGCAGGGGCTTGGCCCTTTCCCACCATCTCCAAACCAGGCTAATTCTGCCCCACTGCCTGCGTGGGCTGGATCTGGCCCATCAGCTGGACCACATCCCTCTCTGGGGTTAACCACAGCCCTCGGCTCTGCCAGCTCTCCGCGTGCGACTGGCACACGCTGCGGGTTTCTGCTAAGAGAAGGGACCCGGATACAGCTCGGCAAGATGCTCCAGGCATCCCTCGGGGCTTTTCTGGATCAGGAACCTGGAAAGCAACTCTGCACCAGCACAGGGGGGACCTGTGCTGCTTGGAAGCAGCTCTGGGATCCTTTCTCTCTGATCTGCTCTTAGGGTTTCTCAGGGAAAGCATTTGAGCTGCTTGGGGGAGAAAGGTTTCCCACGCAGGAAGATGAGCTCTGTGCGAGGGCTTTGCTATGGACAGACTTGACTGTTCCTACAATTGTGTGATGCGTTTACAGACTTAATGTAACATGTAAAGTACAAAAAGTCTGCAGGATGGGAGGGATACACCTCCAGGATTTGACATGACTTAGAGTTGATCTTCACATTTAACCTGAAAAGCCTCAGGTTCAGACCTGGCAGACTCAAGAAACAGGCTCCAGGCAAAGGACTTTATCATTCGATTCTTCAAAACTCCAGAGAGGGCACGTGGATGGGCAGGGACAAGGTCTGGGTTGAGTGGGGCTTCAAAGCTCCCGGGTCAAGTGGGGCTTCCAAGCTCAGCCCCAGCCCTGTTGGTGATGGAGCACTTGGGCACGGAGAAGGCTCCTGACAGATGGGCACATGGGCTGGGTCGTTATTTTTCTATTAGTGGTCCGGGAAACAATTAAGCCAGATGACTGAGGACATTTTAGAGAAGCCATCCATGCTCCTACAAGCCAGATACAGCCACAAACAAGAACAAGGGAAAAATAAGAGTAATAATGAACATAAATATAACCTGGGTTTAGTGAATGGTAAACAAAAGCCATCAACATAATGATTTTTTCCCCTGAACAGAGCAGTTAGGTGGTCTCTCAATTAAATGACAAACCACTGAGAAATGCTGCTCGGGAAGAACTAATATTCAATTATCTGACAGAGGCGTTTCTCACGAGTGCCTCGCAGTCTCGTTCATTTATTTACAGAGCCTAAAAAGGGCAGTAGCCACTCGAACACTCATCGATCATTTCAAGTAGGACACCGACACCCAGCTCGCTCGGCATCTCGGAAACCCTGCCTGAACGGCTCAGCCTCCCCGGAGCTCCCAGGGCAGGCGGTTTATCCCAGAAAAAGCCCCATGATGGGACCTGGAGCACACGAAAGAGATGGCATCGTACCCCACCCCCCGTCAGATGCCCCGGGCACACACTTACCCACACCACGTTGTTATTTACAGAGGAGCTCGGCCCAAACATGCTGTTATCTAAGTGAGGGGAGTTTGCGCTGCTGGTCAGGGGCGATTTGGCAGGATCTTCTAAATCCAGCAAGTTCCCCGTGGCTGCTGCTGTGAAGAGAGTGGAGAGGGAATGAGGCAGGGGAGGGCAAATAGAGACGACATGAAACCAAGCCTTTTTGCAGTAATCACTTCCCCTCAAGAGGGGAATCAAATTCCTTCAGGATGGCTCCGAACTTTAGCATGGAGGAGCTTCATTCACCCAGTGGTTTCAGCCTGAATAATTCATGATCAGGCAGCCAAGACCCTCTCGAGAGGGACACAGGGGAGGATTGGCCAGCTCATCCCTCCAGCAGTCATCAGGGGAGGCTCCTGAGTACCTGCTTACGTTCAGGATGAGTCAGGATCAGCCCCAGGCAAAGGTGGCACATCCCAAACCCAGCACATCCCAACCCCAGGGCTTCATAGCCCCCGGTGGGAGCAGACCCTGGGTGATACCCTCAGCTCAGACCACAGCATCAATTCGGCATCTTACAAAGATGCATCATTATTTTATAGAACCAAGGGAAAATCCGGCACTGGGTGAAGGGACAGTTTCCAGCTTGGGGGCTGCCGGTACACCACAGGCTGGGCTGCTTCAGGGAAGCCTCAAATCCTCCCCATCACCCTGCAGCAAACGCCCCCGCTGCAGAGCATCCCCCAGGCCGATGCTGGAACCCATTCCTACACCCATGGCAGCCCCAGGCCTCATTTATCCCGCTGTGCCACCGTTCGTGACAGATTCCTCCAGTCTTGGGCCTTCACATGAAGAAATGAGATGTGCCAGCCTGGAAGGAAGCCCAGTTTAATGCTATTTTCCTCCGTGCCAAATCCTCTTATCTCTGTGGCCAGCATGGAAGAGAGATTAGTCTTTTGTCCCACTTCTCCCTGGCTACGCATTTTACGTTTCAGAGGCAGCAGAGGACCCATGGCCAGACACTGAATTATGAGGTGGTTTACTATTTGTTTCATTTTCACACCCCTCTCCTCCCATAGGGGACCCAGAGGGAGAGTGGCACCTGGATGTCCATCTCCTTCAGCCGATGGGATGGCAAGTGTTTCGGGTCCGAAACAAACCTGAAATCAAACTCGGGACGTGGGGGTCCACGCTCATCTCATAAGGAATTTACGGCCAATTTGCCTGGAGCAGAAGTAAACAGATTTGGGGGGGGCAGCAGCCGCGTACGAGGGGCTGCATGAGATATTTTGGGGGAGATGGAAGGACTCGGCAGGCGGCCACCGTGTCCCAAACGCTCTGCTGAGGGCAGCATCTCTGTTACAAGCGTTTGCTCCTCGCTGGTCTCCAAAGCCCCATTCAGGGAAAACCCCGCAGACCTCAGGCTGCTCCCCGTCCCCGAAGCAAAGCTCTGCTGGTGGTGACTTACGTGTGTCGTGGTGGGCAGGGGCTTCTGAGCTGGAGCTGCTCGTTGCTTCTCCTTCCAAGATGGACTTTTCCCGCTTCTCCTTCTCTGCAAAAGGAGACGCCATCACTGCCTGCAGAGCACTTCCCCGCAAGCTTTTAGGGAGCAGGGACAGGGGGGACAGCTCAGATGGGCCACCAGGTCTCCCCTGCCCACAACAGCCCAGCCTCTGGGTGCCTTTTATAATCTTGTGAAAGGTGGAAGCAAAAGTGCTGACCGCAGCAGAGCTCTGAGGGACCACAGACAAGCAGCAGGTCCATCACACCCCGCCTGCAAGAAAGGAGCACGGCCAAAATTTGGCTGGATTTACGAGGCTGTCGAGAGAAACCTGGAAGACGCCTTAAATCACACCAGAGGTTAGACCAACCTTAACAGCAGCCTGGGAATTTGTAGGGCAAGAGGAAAAGGCACTTGAAAGCTGGAAAAAAAGTCATCCCTTGAACTTTCATGTGAAGAGCGGGAAGAGAAGAAAACCACTCACCTTCCTTAGCCGCCTGCCATAACTCAAACGCGATTTTGAAGGCTTGAGCTACGGTGAGGGTGACCGCTTGTGCCTGGAAAGACAGTGGGGAGGCAGCACGTTAATCAACGGGGTCCTCACGTAGATTTAAACCATTTGGAGGCTGGTTTTGCTTTGCAGATTCATGTTAACCTGGATCCAACCAGTCCTTCGCTCTGCACGCTCCCTGCCTGGCTGGGGAGGGGTAATCAAATATTGATGGAAGAGAGACTTGCTCCGTGTAGGACACCCAGCTCGTTGTGGACACGTCTTTAGGTGTAATGGGGATACGGAGGAGGCAGGGACGTGGCTGTCACAGGCGACACACGGGGAGAGAAGAGCTGCTCCTGACGGCGGGGCACAGGCAGCTCTCCCTGCACCCCACACCCAAGCGTGATCTAAACAAGTGCAAGCACTTCACGGCCCCGGGCTCGTCCTTGCAGCTCCCTGAGGAATGTGGCTTCCCGCTTCAGGGCTGTGCCGTGCTGTGCCCACCGCAGAGCATCGCCCACCAGGACGACCAACAGCTCAAAGGGATTCAGCGCCCTGGACCACGCCGCTGTCAGCCACACCAGTGCTGGGGAGGGATGCACAGAGCTGCGGACCATCCCTCCCCGGCACCCTGCACAAGGATGCTCCGAGAGCAACATGCAGCAGGGTAAAAATGCCACGAAACTGCAGCTCTCTCCAACGGGGAGCAACCTTAGAGGCAGGACAAGAGAGACCCCAGGTCTTCCCCTGGCTCCCCCGAGCTAAGCTGGCGTCTTGCAGGCTTCGATCAAGAGCAGGGGTTTGTTCTGCAACAGCCAGGGCCGCAGCAGGGACACCTTCCCCTGCAGTCCCTCCGTTCCTCCGCAAGCTGAGAGCTGGAGCAGCAGCAAAAACCCCACCACCTCCAACAGCCCGAGTTGCTGGAGATGTATAAATAGTGACATAAATGCCAGTTTCATTAGGAGAAGGCAGAGCTCACGAGCAGTTAAGTGCAAGGAGATAACAAGTAACACTCCACAAGGCGGGCGCGCTGCAGGAGCCTTGAGGTGCGAGTTTGTTTCACGAAGCTGCAAACTAAACAAACCCCCATCCCTGTCCGTAACCCACAGCCCCTGGTAGCTGGGAAGGCGGAGACGTGGAGGGGGGAGCACGAGCAGAGCCCAAAAGCTGGGTGCTCCTGCGCGGGAGGGGCGAGGAGACCCCGCAAACCTATTGGTGCCAATTAAGCCTCGCAAAGCAGGAGGGCTCATTTGAATGTCAGAGCTATTTACATCTTTGATGGAAGCACAAACGCTTTATGGCAAAAACTTAAATATGGTAATTAAGTATGAAACTCCTCACAGCTGTTTACAATTTAAGCTGTCACATCTGAATCAAGTTTAATAGACCCGGCTACCAGAGAGAATTACCCATGAACTAAAAATACGGACTAATTATATGCCCGTGACTGGTAGCTGTGCCTACATTCGGGGACCCTGCCCTGGGGCAGGGACAGTCCCTGGTCTGGGAGCAGGGCATCACCTTACCAGCACGACGTTCATGCATTTTACAGACAAGGAAAAACCCCATATTTCTAGGTTTTGCCACAAAAGGCCTTGGAGAACTTTATTTGCAGGGAGACGCACTGAGCTGATGTACCACTGAGATAATTCTTTTAGCACTGGAGAGATTTAAATTTTAATTTGCAGAGTGAGGCTTATCTCCGCCACGCAAGGATGGGAGCGCACAGCGCAGCAAGGAGAGACAACTTGTAGCTTCCATTATTCTCTCTCCAGAAAAAAAAAAACCCAAACCTAGTTGGGAGAAGTGTGGAATATTAAGAGAGCTGCGGTGGCCACGCTCCAGGCACAGGGATGCTCCCAAGGACCCAGGAATCACCACACCGGGATGCACTGGGTGGGAAGAGCTCTCTGGAGGTTTGTTTCCCTGCAGATTCGGGAGATCCCATTCTCTGCTCAGGCCCAGCAACAGGCACCAGGGGAAGGATTTCTGGGAGCAGAGGGATCTGACCTGCCCTTTCTCTCCTCTAAAGCACCTTCCTGCTGCGGGGAGGGGGCTCAGCGCCCGCTCTGGCTCTACTGGAGAGACCCCCAGGGCTCTCCTTGCCCCGCCTGCAGCCGGTGCCCAGTGACCCACTTCTCTCCCTCGCCAGCACATCAGCACTGGGTAGCACATCAGCGCTGGGTTCCTGCCCATCCTGATACACTGAATCAACAGGAAAAAAATCCCCTGAGCGGGTTCAAAGCAAGAGCCAGAGACCATTTCCTATATACACGTCTCTGCTCCGAGCCCCATCCTCGGCACGCAGCGGGGTCTCCTGTGCTGCTCCCGCAGGGAGGACGTGGCCCTGCCTGCAAAGATGCCGCTAAAAATTGGACAAGGAGCTTCAACAGCAAGAAATGGAAGGAAGCCAGGGCGGGGAGCCCAGAACTGCTGGCTAAATGCCTCCCATCAACGAGGTCGCCCCTGGGCACCTTGCTGCCAGCCTCCCCGGAGACCTCCTCGCCTGCCAAAGCCTCTCCGCACGCCGGGCTCAGACCAGCCTGGGGAAGTGGATGCTGAGCAGGGAAGAGTCCCAGCAGCTGGGACCCCAGTGCAGCAGCGGGGGTTCCAGGTGCCGGTGCAGGGCCAGGTCCTCTCACCCCTGCCCCAGACCTCGGGGCAGAAAGGCTTTTACCTGCCAAGAGGTTGGGCTGAATCCAGCCCGGAGTTACGAGCGCTCGAGAGCGATGGCCAGACGCTGGGCACCATCGCCAGGATTAACTGCCTGTGGGCAGGTGGTGATGGCAGCAGGAGGGTGGGTGCTCTCCTGGGGCCGTTGGCTGGGGCAGGGCCCCCCGTCGCTCTAACCAGGGGCAGAGCTGTTATCTCACCAGCGCAGCCCCTCTCTGCTTCCTCCTCCTACAGCCACATCCCCATTTCTTCCTCTGGACTGACCATTTTCCGTTTGGTACAGAGGAAGGCATGGCACTCCAGGTTCTCATTGAGCTGGTTCTGGGCAATGTAGGCAAACACTTTATCGTGGATCTTGTCTGCTGTGCAGTAGGATATCCTGAAAGACAGAACGAAATGTCTTGTCCGGGGCACTGCGCACAAGGGAGATTGACCAACCCCTCCTCTGACCTGCCAGCAAGTGTCTACCCCAGGGCTTCCAGCTCCGGGGCCAAGCAGGGAAGGCAGAGGGAGCACAGGAGCGTTACGAGGCTTCAAAGCAACTCCTTCCCAAAGCAGAGGAGTCGATGCCACTGGCTTGAGCGTAAGAGCAGCCCAGAGCAACTCCCGCAGCCACGGCGTGAACCACGTGCATCACACGCAGAGGTGGGAGAGAAGAGAAAACGTTTCACCTTGTGGGAAAGGACAGGTTAGAGAAGGTAAAGACTCTGCGGTGTGCCAGCCCGGGACTACGCCTGACAAATGCTCTGCCTTCAGAAGAGAGACTCGGAAGATTTTCCTTGGAGGATAAGCTTGCAAGGAGAGAGAAGGACTTGTTCTCGGCCTACAATTTAATCTTGAGGCTCAAACCAGGGAAAGAAATTGATGCAGGGGTGCCCAAGCAAAGCTGTTGGAAAGGCTGAAATTGAGGCTCCAAGATCTGCAGTAGCAGATGCAGAGGATGCTCCGAGACCCCTGAGCACATGGGACATGGGGAAGGAGGCTCAGCCTCCTCAGTGGAGCACCCCCAGGATGGCTGTGTCTCTCTCAGCCCCCTTGGCAGGGCAAGGCTGACTCCAAAATGCTGAACAAGGCTCTGGAAGAGCAACAGGCTGACCTGTTTGGGGAGACCAGGCAGTGACCAAGGACTCGGCTCCCTTCTGCAGGGCAGCGGGCCCCTCAGCATCAGCCACCACCATCTCCCACGGGTCCGTCCGTGCCAGGAGCAGCAGGACTGAGCGTCTCATCTGAAGCCAGCGAGCAGAGGCTGGAGCAGCCCTGGAGGTTCAGTGCAAGGTGGCAGGCGTTAGCAGCGAGCAAAGCCTCTTCCCTGGGCATGCGACAGGTCAAACAGGTGTGAAAGAAAGAGAAAACGCCAGGAAAAAAGTGGGACATTTCAGCAAAAGTTTTCCCATAGCCCCATGTTGCCTCTTCAGCTCCTGCTCTCGCTGCCCCTGAGAGTTTACAGGGAGGAGACTGGAAGGTCCCAGTTCTCAGCAGATGCGGGGACTTAAAAAAAGCCACATTCAAAATTTATTTACGCTGCATTAGCTTCTTGTTGCATATGAGGATGCCTCTGCTCAACGGCCTATATTTTGTTTCCCAGAGCTAAGCCGTGATCTGGATTAGAGGCACTTGGAAGTTCACTCCTTTCTCCCATTTTTCCCAAAACAGCGTGGCCGCTCTTAATAATCACGACAAAGCCAGGGAAGGTCGTCTGCGCAGGCACGTGGCCCTTCCAGCAACCCCCAGCTCGATATTCGATGGTCACTAATTTCCAGGGAAAGGACAACTCACGCCCGGCCTCTGAAGCCAGCCAGTTTTACGACCAGGGCCTCTGGGAGCAGTGACTGTGGCTGCATTTTAGCAGCACGTGACCCAGGGCAAAAGCTCAGAGCCAGCATCATCTCCGCGAACAGACAAGCCAAAGAGAAGACAGCAGAGGTGTTAGAGGAAAGCCCTGGGACCGCCACCGGTGGAGCACGCTCACAGAGCGGGGAGATGACCCCCCCACGCACACAGACCCCAGCTTTCGCCATGACCCCCGCTCCCACAGTGCCAGCACCTCCGGGGAGCAGCATCAGTCCCCACATCAACAGCCTATTTAGGATGCGCTGACTTGAGGCAACCGAATCGAGGGGATGCTCGTACGTGAGCGCTGACCGGGAGGAACAGCTTCATCCACGGCTGTTAAAGCATCTGGGGAGAATTTAAGGCAGGACCTAAAAACCCCGGCCCCACGGCTCTGCCTGCTTTTACACCAGCACAATGATCCCGATTTTGGCGCGGTCACTTCGCCCAACTCTGCTCTTTAGCAGTGGGTTTATCTCCTGGGGAGGGCCGGGCCTCAGCACCGGGGGCTGTATGCGACTGCTTAGTTTGAACCGCACAAAAGCAAGCGGGTTAGTAGTCTGGTTAGAGAGTGCCCAACCCAGTGCTCCCCATCCCACATGTAGCAAAGGGGAATAGGGCAGCAGATGAAGGATAGAAGCAGAGTGTGGGGGATGTAGAGGGAGAAGAGAGAGAGGAGATGGAAAGGGCCAGACCCAAGCTGAGCTCTGTTCTGCCACGCCTGCGCCTGCCTCCAGCCTCTTTGGAAGAAATGCTTGCCGAAGCCAGAGGAGCAGGCATGGGAGAATCCATCCTCGCCCTCCCCACGCTGGCAGTGGGTCTCAACAGCTGTCCCAGCCCTGCTCTTTGTCAGAGCTATTTAAACTTATCAGAGGTGCAGAGCAGCCAGCGAGGGGAGGGCAGCCCTGGCTCCAACACTCACATCCTCACCCGCTCAGAGACGCTTTGACCACCCTCTGTATTCGATTCTCGCCGTCACCCCGGATGCTTTGGTGTTTCCATTGCCAAAAACAGACAGTAAAGCCCCTTGTGGCCAGGGAACACTTGGCTGTGGATTTGCAGACCACACACACAACACCTCCAGGCTCATCACGTCTTTCCTTACTCCCTGCTAGACTCTTATTGCATCAGACGTAAATTTACCTTAAATTTAGCAATGACCCTCCTTCGCCCACCTTTGCTTTCCATCAAGACATGATGGCCAGTGAGGCATCACCTCAGCCTGGGTGGAGACCAGAGCAGACGAGGAGCCTTGGAGCACACACCCACCGAAGTGCCCCCCGTAACCCACCTGTATATGGAGACGTTCTCGATCAGCTCGTTCGTTCCGCTGTCGTTTAACACGATCCCTCTGGGCGAGACTTTCAGAGTCACTTTCTGCAGTTTCTTTCCACTTGCTTTTGCCTTTGGAAGGAAAAGGAGAGGAAAGTTACAGGCTTTTAACACCGATACATCCAAAGGCACATGGACGCAGACTCTAGACACGCACTACCTAATAGGCACGTTAATAGCACTCGTTAGTACTAGAGACTGAACTTACTACCAGGTGTGATAAGGCATTTGTTAAAACTTTTCCTTCCCTGAAGCAGTAATTTTTGCTGGCGTTACCAAGAGAAGGACACACACCGTCCACCCCACCTGGTGCAGAGGCACTCCCAGCCCAGCACCTCCGGGAGAACTTCCCCGCAGCCATCTGCAGCGGCTGCTCTGGCCGAGCCGTGCGAGCGCTTGGTGAAACCCCGGGGAGTTTTGTCTTTAGGGCCAGCTCTGGAGCAGAGGAGGACACCAGCACGAACAAGGGAGCTGTGCTGGGAGCAGGACGCTCCTGCAGCTGGCTTCAAGCTCTACTGCCAAAACCCGCTCGAGTGGCAAGGCATCCCCCACGCCAAGGTCAGGACGGCGGCTTAAAAAGTAACTAGACTTTTAAGCGCCACTTTCTCTTATTTAGTAGTCTTGTGCTTTCAGCCTTCAGGTTACATTCAGCTCACTGCCCAGCTTCTCTCTCAAAACAAAAAGGTAACGCACAGCTGGCTAGTTACAGACTGCAGACCTGGATCCTCAGCCCTGCTCTCGGGGGACCTCACTTGAGCCACGTCCAGACCGGCTGGCGGTCGGTCCTGCCCCTCCAAGGCTGGCCTCAGCCCTGGGGCTTTTATTTAAAGGCTCCGTGCTCGGTCGATCGGACGCGAAGGGCTCTGCCAGCGGCTCCCGTTTCATGCGAGCGCTCCCCTCCCGTGCAGCTCAGCACACGCCAGGAAAGGATCCGTCATTACCCAGCGCAGTTCGCCACCCCATTGAGTTTTACGACAGTTAACTGTACAATTGGGTCTTTGCCTCGTTCAGTTTTATAAGGGCTTAAAGAAGCGTTAATTTTACTTGGAGCCCAGTGAGCAGGGACTCCAGGGAGGCTCAGTGCTAGACGATGGCTGAAAATCGGTCCCTCTTCCATCAGAGGTTACAGCAGGACTGTATTAGCTGGGAACTGAAGCAAGCTGTCCTGCTCCCTTCCCCTTTTAACCCTCCAAATCCCAAGAAGGAAAAACCAGAACTGCATGTCAGCTCTTGGTCATTTGCTGGCTGCACTCAAAACACTGCCTCTGCCTTGCAAGAGGAGAGAAGGCTGGGGAAGGCTGATTTCACCAGGTCACAGGTTTCTTCCACACCCAGGGTCACCCAAGCTTATCAAGGAGCGCCACAGCTCAGGCATGTAACACCAGTTTTCCACAGCCTGCCCCATCCACGGGCCAGGGCTGGCCCCAAGGGTTTCCCAGTGCTGCTGTCTGCATTTCTACCTACACTGCCAGACACCTGCTCACCCCTGGAAGGGCTGGACCTGCAATCCTGACACCCCCCAGCCTGCAGACGGACAGCACTGCCTCCAGACCTGCAGCTTTTGAAACTCTCCCCAGTGACAGGCTTGTTCGAACAGCAGGAGACAGGGCTCCTCTCCAGCACGGACACTCACAGTGGCCACGATCCTTTTGACGGCGGCCGCAGAGAGCTCCTCTCCCTTGGGCTGCTCCACCAGCGTCATGCCCATGTACTTGAGGCTGAAGAGCATCCCCTCCAGCAGTGTCTCACGAGTGTCGGTCCAGTTCTCTGGGAGCTCTGGAGAGACAACAAAGAGGCTCTTAGATTCCCAAACGCACAAGGAAACCCCTGTCAAGCTCTAAGAGAAGGTTTAGGTACGAGCAGGGTGTTGGTTTAGGCACTGCCTGGGCTCACATGCCCGAGTGGCTGGGAGGTAACAAGCATATTTATCATGTCCCTCACAAGACGCTGCGGAAAGGAGATGGGGCAGAGACCCGGCTGTTGGAGGCGGCGACAGCACGCTTCAGCCCCACAGCACCTGCAAGGCATTCACGTGGGGGATGTCATCATCAGCCTCCATAGCTCCCCAAGGCAGGAAAAACAAACCCCTATTTTTTCCCACGAGCCACAGCAAACGGCAACAACTCTTTAAGATCCATCCGCTCCTCAGTTTAATTGGGAGTGCCCAGGCCCACACCATAACCGAGGGGATCCTGAGCAGCAGCCCCAACCAGGCACAGGGGAGGGCTCGGTGCCGCCCCACGCGCAGCAATAACCTTACCCTGTGCTAACCATCACCTACCCGCAGAGGCTAAGACGGGATTTGCCGCTAGCTAAGCCCACGCACAGCTACAGGGATCCAGGTGACATGCTGCAGCTTGCTAAATCAGTCACCACCAGCCCTGAGGAGCACATCGCACGGGTGAAGCCTCAGCAAGGAGAGGTCTCTGCTCTCTCCTGGAAATCACCAAGGAGGTGATGGGGGAGATGGGAAGGAGCGTCCTAAATACAGAGATAAGTCTGTGACCAAACTAGAAGTCAGGTGGGTATTTCCAAGCGTGAAATTGCCCCGCAGGAGCTAACTTCCAGACACGGAGCTGGCAACCCAGGATCTGCAGCTCTCCTCCTTAAGGAGGGTCTTGCTTCGAGCAGGAGGCGACAAAGCACAGCCCTCCCGAGGTGCCCCACAGCCCTGGGGAGCCACAGGGCTCCCAGAGAGGAGGCTCTGCTCGCTGCAGACAAAACATGTCCCTGAAGGCTTCGCTGCCTTGTACTCGGCCTCCTTCAGCCGCCTCCAAGCAGCGAGGTCAAACTCTGTGGGTCCCTGCAAACCTGCAGCACCGGGAGAGCAGGCTGCGGGGATGGGGCGTGGGGGGGTAAGGATGTGCCCCTGGGGTAACCCCCAGTGACTCAGCCTCCAGGGGAAGGTGAAATAGGAGATAAGTCATAAACCCCGTCGCCACTCCCAGCAGTGGGTGTGAGTGTCAGGAGCAGTGAACCACCCTGGCCAGCCCAGCAGTGGCTAAAGTCGAAGTGACAGAAGCCGGGTGGGAGCGGTGCCATGTGGAGACAAGGGTTTGCAGGAGGGCAGGGGCTCCACACCTGACAGGCAGGTCCCAAACCTGGAGAGGGAACGGAAAAACCAAGTACAGGCGGGATGCTGCATTTATCTCACATCCAGCTAGAAACAGAGGTGCCAGCGAAAAGCCTGGATTCCTCAAAAGCCAAGGGTGCTGCCACTGTCCTCCCACCCTCAGTAGCTGAAGCCAGGTGAGCACGTCGGGGTGGAGGGTGGTTTGCATGCGATGGACGGGCAGCTGCCTGCCCCACACTCCCTGCCTCACTAGCTGGGCACTGGTCCCGTATCCCGTGCAGGGCAGCTCAAGGCCTCGCCGAGGACGGAGACAGGGACAGTCCAAGCACAGTTGATGCTGGCAGCAGCCAGGCCCTGGGCACCCACAGCTCGCGCTGGTCTGGGACGGAAGGAGGGGTGGTTTAAGCGCAGCCACTGAAGTGCTTTCAGAAAGGAAGGAGCACCTGAAGCAGCACAGAGGCTCCTCCACGCATCCTGTTCTGCACCGTTCACCACCGCCTCACCCGTCCTCCCGTGAACACGAACCAGGGGCGCATCTGTCCCGCAGGGCGACGGCGATGCCCCCCACCCAGCGAAGGGCACCGGGGCGGTTTGCAAGGTCACTCCGCAGAGGGCTCAGGGTGAGT